TTGTAGAAATTGCAAATTGCAAGCATGAAATTACGCATTATATTAATGCGTTTAATTCAATGAATGTCTTCGGTCAATAACTAAAAAACGTAACGTGCAATTCTCACAATATTATTTGTGATGAGACTGGTTTTGATGAATACAGATTCATAGTCAGCGTCACCAGAAAATGGACTTCTTGAACCACTGGTTTTATGGATTTTGATGGTTTGCGTCAAAATAATTTACATAAACTACTATATGCCACACAAGGGATGGATAGAACCGAATAGTTTTTTTAGTGACTATAGGAAATGCTAGTCTTAACTTATAAAATATTTGTTGATAATTCATTGGCAACTTAAAGGGTCCTTTTAAATAGTAGTTCTGCATTTGGATTACTATCACCAAAGTATCTTTGTAGAAAGGAAACGAATTTATGCGCACTTTTGTTCAAATCCGAGTCTCAAAGTTGTCGTTTTTAGTTTCGCTGTCACTTTCATTGTCTTCTGAGTATCTTTGAAAGTTATTACTCATTATGAGTAAATCAAAATTTAGCCTATCATATGTACAACCATTTATACCTTTACTTGTCCCAACAAAATTAATATTCTTAGGCTTTAATTTCCAAGATCATCCTCTGACCAATCGCCTAAAATTGGCGGCCCACAAACATGGGTATATGTCGAAACCTTGTAACCTTGGTGTTTTATGATGAGAACGAAACTGGTGTATAAAACTTTACTATCTTAGCTAGAATTGCGACAAGTTATAGTTAAAAAAGAGCGGTCCTAAAAAAAAAAAAAAAAAAAAAAAAAATCGGGGTATCATATTTTATATTCATTTATATATTTTCTAATTGCGTTTGGTAGACATCTTATTTATACTCACGATGGTGGGATTTAACCGCACCTGCTACCCTTGTTTTGCCAAAATTCTTTACAGGAACACCTCTAAGAATTTTTTTTTTAATTCTTTTTATTTTTACTGGAAAGAATTCTTGGGGATTGGCTCTACCAAGACACAGAGATTGATGGGATTAAGGGTGGGGTGATCAAAGCAATGGGCAGCCCAATCCACATTATTTGATCCTATTTGCCAGCAGGCCCAGCCCCATTCGTAAGGAAGATTTCAGAATATAAAAGTGTTAGCAGCTATTGCATAAACTGGTTATTTTAAAAAGGAAAAAAGAGGGAAATAGGTCAAGATGAATTAAAATTAATAGGTCAATAATTTACATAAGTTAATAAATAGGCTAAATTACTATTTTTGTTCATAACTTATCTGGTTATGAACCATAACTTGACAAGTTATTATCCATTTTTGTCCATAACTTGTCTGGCTATGAACCATAACTTGACAAGTTATGACCTATTAATTTATATATCTAAAAGTTGGCCTATATTCTTAAACTTTTCATATTGGCCTATTTTTTACTATTTCCGTTTTAAAAACCCTATTTTAAAAACTGATTCTGTCTATTTATTTTTAAATTAATTGCTTGTGGTATATATATATATTGTTACTCTCATCCATTATTGTAGAATTACAATCTTTATGCTTCGTCATGATTGTCATAAGGTTTATTGTTATTCCATTTATTTGATCATGACAGTGCACATTATCATAAAGTTCTAATCTTGATGATAATGGTCATATTTGCAATTGTACGCAAATATTGTTGAATTTCTAACATTATTTTTAATATCGTAAACGTGAAACTTTTTTACTCTCGTTATTATAGGAAAGAGATTAGTTATACATAATGAATTTTTAGATAGTTTTATAACAAAATAAAGGTATATACAATTTTGAAGTTTTATTTTATTTATTAAAACGAGCGGGTTATATGAAGCACCCTTCTCTTAAACGACAATCAAACTCTAGCTAACCACCTTGGCAAAACTAATTAGACCCAAGTAGAAAATGGGAACTCCATATTTGGCTAACTCTAGTGCAAAACTAAAAGCTATTCAAGAAATGGTTGCAACAAAAGAACAACTAACATACGGGCCTTTTCAGTATTAAAGAAAAAGCGATTCCTAACAGAATTAACAGCATTCACTGAGTCAGACTCTTTTATTTCGAGCGAAGTTAAGTCACTAATGAGCATGCATTTAAGAAACCCTTTTATCTATCCTCTTAATTGGTTAATGAATGTTGTTCTAGATCTACCTAGGAAATAACTTTTGGAATTCAATGACGTATAATTCCTATAGGAATTGTTGCCTTAAAAACATTCAATTGTAGGACCGAGCTCGGACTATAATATATAAAACTTCCTATTTAAAAGGTTAACTTTAAAAAGAAAAAAGAAAATTTTCCTTAAGGAAGAAAAGGAAACTTAAAAAAAAAAAAAAATTAAAATAAAATCCAGCTCTCATGAGAGAATTTGCTTTGATTGGAAATGGATTTCCACTATTTCAGCTGTTTATTTATTACAAGGCAAAAAAAATCAGCTGCTTTTTAGAAAACATGTAAAAATTAAGGGACCATTGAGATATTTAGACAATATGTCATAGTTTTTAAGGTTGGATTGACTTTTACAATGAGTACTAAAACTATTACAAAATATATCACAATGACATCATTTAATTTTTGTGTTTTGACCAAAATTATACTTGTACTTGTACTTGTGTGTATTTGATTTAGTATTTTAGATTTCGTAAGACATTTTTGTGGTTTTTCATGTATATATTTGTGATTTTTATAAATTTTACAATTTATAAGTATATTTAATTGTGACATTCTCTACAATAATTTATATTCTATGACATATTTTAATTCAAGTCCAAAACCTGTGGTATTCCTGTAAAATACCCCATTAAATTACTCGTTCTAAATTTCCTTTGTCAGAAAGCCCACAAAACCTGAATAGTTTTCCCATGGAAAACTCCAAACTTAAGATTAAAGTACTTTAATTTATAGCAAAACACAAGGACAAAAAAAACAACGACAAAAACGCAATAAACAAACACAAAAATAAAAATAAAAATAAAAATAAAAATAAAACTTTACGTACGATTAAAATTAAAAGCTCTCTCCTAGCCTGCCCAAAGTCATTAGAAGGAAAAGGTAAAACTGAAAAAAATGTCACTCGTGAAAAAACCATGCTCCAATGAAAGGGTATCCAACAATTTCTCTTTATCATTGTTACACTAACAACAACATGAAATCCTGTCAATAGACAATAGATATGATAAAAGAAACACTATTATGATGTTGCACATGCCAATAATTGGCAAACAACCACTAATAACACTCATTCGTATGTCATAATAAAACGTGGTACAAGTAAAATCTAAATCTCGATCATGATGGTCACATGCATAATAGTTTACCTGAAATTATGAAGTGTTGCGCAAGTTTCGTTAACTCTTCATAATTTGGCAATCCAGTAGCAACTTTTTGCTGGCTCCTCCACCGCGGACATTTCTCCATGGTCTACATGATCACAAAACACATTAAGGATTTGACTCTCTGAATTTTGTCATTAATTTCTAATTTGCTAACTTATGATTATGCACCACTTTAGTTGCTTTTGATGGTGATTTGCCTTAATATTAGGCTTTATAATTTTCAATTGCTCCTCGAAATATTATGCTTCTAAAATGTTTGTGAATAATTCGAAAGACACTACCATGAATAATGTAAAGAATACTAACTTTATTCCCAATTTTTTAATACCAGTTAATGTGTCACGTAAATTTTATCATTTTTTATTAGCAGATGTGTAAAAGATTATTACGTCAATTAATCATAATATGAGATTGCATCTAAAAGAAGATAACTCATTAACATATAAGTTGACCAAAAAAAAATAGAAATAGAATTGAGATACCTAGCACTACTTAACGTTTGTATATGACAAATGTGAAACGTACTAATATTGATCTATATGTGGTTATATCGGCCATATGTTATAGATATATGCACGGTAAACACATAAACACTAACAAAAAAAGTACAGATGAATTGGGTTTCTCTTGACAAAAAAACTTCACCCCTCGTCCAAACTAGGCACGCTGAATGAGAACTAGGGGGTCATGTGATGCATTATTACCATCCAAGTTGCAACATTAGTACGCTTGTGGAGTTTCATTTTTGAACGGCCGCTTTCCCAAGAAAAATGGGCGATTGTAATAACTTCAATGGGTACAATCTAAAAATGTTCATCAAAGTTTGTAGTTTAATAATGGGGAAAAGCCAAACACATTTTTCTCCCACATTTCATGTAGAAGGGTCCTTCAGAATGAAATCCAACCAAAACCAATTCATGAGCACACCACAAGCCACAAAGGGATATTCTAGCTCTATTTTCCCTTAAAATTACGGGCATTGGACCACACAATCTAACTCTTACCTCCACATCTCATCCATAGAATCTAAGTACTACCCTAAAACTTTATCTGCAACATTTTTTTTTTTTTTTATTTGCTCCAACTGCCAAACACAACTCACATGTCTCGGTGGTCAGTCCCATAAACCCAAACACAAAAATCCATTTCGGAAATTTCAAAAAACGCCTTTGAGAATCATTGCTTCCACTTCCCTATAATAGAGTAATAGACCCCTCGAGCATATTTTGTTTGTTTATCTATTAATTTTTATTTTTATTTTTTTGGTTTTTTTCCTTTTGTGGGTCCCAATTCCCCTCATGCCATCCATGTGTCCGTCATAATCCGACGGTGAGACATCCATTCCTTTATAATTCCCCACCTCTTATTCTATCCAAATCCAACGTACTATACTCCACCGTCAATCATGAGAAATCAGTCATTCAGATTTATTTATGACATAGTAGTAAAATTCGGTGCGGTCCAGCCCAACCCGGCCCAAAACACCCCGTCAAAGCCCGAAACGACCCAGTCAAGAGTCCCACGCATCGGAATCCCAACTCTCTTCCAGTAATATCGACCCACGTGTCGCCCACCGATTGGCCTAAACTCTGGAATCCAATGACGCTTTTTTCTGTATAAAAAAGATCCCAAACCACGACTCGCTTATTCAGCGTAAGCAAAGCTAGCAAGCGCCTCACTACTCAGTCCTTACTTTTTCGGACGAAGAAGGAAATGGCGCGAAACGGTTTGGTTCTCGAGGGGAATGTTCCTCTTCTTCGCGCCTTTCTCTTCCTTCTCCTGCTCCTCCTCCCTCAACCGTCGATCTCCGGCTACCGCCAGGACTACCACGACGCCCTCCACAAGTGCATCCTCTTCTTCGAAGGCCAGCGCTCCGGCCGCCTCCCTCCCGACCAGCGCCTCCGCTGGCGCCGAAACTCCGCCTTGCATGACGGCGCCTCCGCCGGCGTACGCATCACTCTTCTCATTTTCCCTCACTTTCCTTCCAACCAAACAGAAAAAGAATAACACTAACCTCGTTTCTTTCTCTTTCTTTTTTGTTTATTTTCCTCCAAACAGGTGGACTTAACGGGCGGATACTACGACGCCGGCGACAACATTAAGTTCGGATTTCCAATGGCGTTCACAACGACGTTGCTTTCGTGGAGCATTATCGATTTCGGCCGGAATATGGGACCGGAGCTCGGTAACACCGTGAAGGCGGTGAAATGGGCGACGGACTATCTTCTGAAGGCGACGGCGAAGCCGGGAGTGATTTACGTTCAGGTTGGAGACGCATACTCTGACCATAACTGCTGGGAGAGACCCGAGGACATGGACACACTCCGGACGGTCTACAAGATCGATAGGGCCCACCCTGGATCCGACGTCGCAGGCGAAACCGCCGCTGCATTGGCCGCTGCCTCCATAGTGTTCAGATCACGTGATCCCGCTTACTCGCGTTTGCTCCTCAATCGGGCCGTTAGGGTACGTCCTGTCGTACTCAATCACTATCACCTACTCTTTATTTTCTTTTTTGTTTTTTTTTTATTTGATATCTTGGTTGTTGTGAATTAAGTGAAGTACAGTATAACAGTATTTTTTTAGATTCTGTGTAATACATGTAATGCCGCGAGATTTTGGGTTTTTTAATGTATCGCGAGAAACTGACCGTTGTTACATGAATGTGTGATGTGTGTGAAACAGGTTTTCGAGTTCGCTGACAGATACCGGGGTGCGTACAGCAATAGCCTGCACTCTGCGGTTTGCCCTTTTTATTGCGACGTGAATGGTTACCAGGTTCTCCTGTTTACTTTTCTGCTCTTTTACTTTTCAGTTTTCAGCTTGTTTTTAGCCCTTGTATCACTGTCATTGTCACACTCCAACCACTCATTTTCATCGTTGATCTTCCCCTTAGTACCACTAATTACAACTTTTTTTTTTTCATTTACGTAAAAAATTTTATGGTATAGTATGAAAAAATGCGAAAAAAAAAATAGTTAATTTCAATTTTCTTTAATCCAATTACGGAATTTTTGTACGTGAGTTTGTGAATGGTTAACAAATGGGAGTGAAATTTGGTGTATAATTGGTGCAGGACGAGTTGCTGTGGGGAGCTGCATGGTTGCACAAGGCGTCGAGGAGGCGCGCGTACAGAGAATACATAGTGAGGAACGAGGTGGTGTTGAGGGCTGGGGACACAATAAACGAGTTTGGTTGGGACAACAAGCATGCTGGGATTAACGTCCTCATTTCCAAGGTAATAATTAATTTAAGCAATAATAATATCTAGCTTTTTTATTCCTCCTATTCCAGAATTAAATATAATACCCGCGGGGATGATTAATTATTATTATATATTGGTATTTATTTTCCACATTTTTGTTTGTATTGCTTTTGTCTTGACTGGATTTTGTTTGGCCATTCTTTATGTCTTCGTGTTATTTGTTTGGAATGTGGGAACTGTTTTCTTGTAAGCTTTTATTATCGTGTTTCTGTTCTAAATTGACAACAGAGGGTGACCCATCTGCCAATCACGTGGTGATGGCTAATTAGTGGCTTGTGCCGAGTGGGGTCCTCTTTGTTGGGACCCCACATAATTAACATATAAGAAGTGAAACAGTTCTATTGAGGTCTAAAAGCCAAATAAATTAGAATTTATATTTGGTGTTTTGTGGATCTATAAGCCGTACACCGTAACTTGTAGATACAGCATGGAATATTTTAAATTGTTGGTGAGGAAAAGAGGAAGGGAAAGAGAGAAAAGGAATAGGAAAAAGTTCGAAAAATTATGGCTAAAAGAGTCCAGAAGACAATGAGAAGAAAAAAGTTCGATGCATGATTTTGCCTTAGAATTAGGCTTTCATGTGGGCATCATTCAATAGTTACACAGTACAGTCAGGAAATTCGTTGAAAAACTTTCAGTTTAAAAGTCGAAAATCCCATTGCATGGCAATGGCATTGGAAAATAGGAAGAAACATGAGAAGGGTCATTGAGGGGTAGTATAGACTTTTCGTTGGAAAATTTTTTGGCTATGTGTTTTCTCAGAAAATAAAAAGCAAAAAAAAAAAAAAAAAAAAAAAAAAAAAAAAAAAAAAAAAAAAAAAAAGAAGAGGGCCTCCAAAGTCTACTCCTGTATGTGTAGATCTGGGCCTGGTGGGCCCTGGAATCAGAAAGTCCCTGCTGCATGGCATGTGCAAAAAGGCTGAGACTTTGGTTCTTCCCATACTCGGCCATTATTCTTCACATAGTTTCTTCTATGAGCGATTGCGACCTTGGTTGAGGTTTTTTTTCTTTTTTGTTTTTGTTTTTGTTTTTCTTAACGAGAAACTGGAAAAAAGACACATAATTATTTTCCATCACGTATTTATTGTTACCCCCCCCCCCCCCCCCCCCGCCCCCCATCCACCCCCTCACATGGCTTCTGTGTGCATGAACGTACTGCATTCTTTTTATTGAAAAAAAAAAAAAAAAAAAAAAAAGAAAGAAAGAAAGAAGATTATCATTGGTTCATGAATAATGTGATTCATTGGGTTTAACACTTGAAACTGACGCCATGTGTCAGACTAAAAGAGTAACTTTTTTTTTTTTTTTTCTTTTTCGTTTTTGTAAAATTCTTGACAGGAAGTGTTGATGGGAAGAGCAGACTACTTTGAATCTTTCAAGCAAAATGCTGACGGTTTTATCTGTTCTTTATTGCCTGGAATTTCTCATCCCCAAGTCCAATATTCGCCAGGTATAATATAAATACATTTTCGTTGCCTATAATAAAACGTCCTATAATCCAGGTTCATTTGTGCTATTTAGAGTTTCATATTTAATCTTTTATTATATCTTTTCCTCAAGGTGGCTTGATCTTCAAGGCCGGAGGGAGCAACATGCAACATGTAACCTCGCTGTCGTTCTTGCTTCTGGCTTACTCCAACTATCTTCGCCACGCCAATAAGATTGTGCCATGCGGCGAGACTTCAGCCTCCCCTGCTCTACTCAGACAATTGGCCAAACGTCAGGTGACTCTCCAACTAGATATTAATAATTCTTTTTTTTTTTTCTTTTTTACTGAAAAAATAGGGGAAAAAAAGGAAGAAGAAGTGGCCCTACTATCACGAGGTCGGCATCCCCATTTAATCAGTGGGGACCATGTCTAGATTAAGACAAATCAACGGCTAGGATTTGTCATTTCACTGGCCAATTTTCTTTACCTACACTGCCATAGATGGCCCACGGATTAACGGCTTTGATCCTAGGGCATCACATGTGAATAGGGTTATATTTGGAATTATAAAAACACAAGGGATAAACGGTGGAATAATTGGTTTTTTTTTTTTTTTCCACAGGTGGACTATATCCTTGGTGATAATCCGTTGGGAATGTCGTACATGGTTGGATATGGTGCACGTTACCCACAGAGGATACACCATAGGGCCAGCTCGTTACCGTCCGTACAGACCCATCCGGCCCGTATCGGTTGTAAAGCGGGGTCTCGCTACTTCCTGAGTCCAAATCCCAATCCCAATCTGCTTGTTGGAGCGGTCGTGGGTGGGCCCAATAGCTCGGATGCTTTTCCAGACTCGAGGCCATACTTTCAAGAGTCGGAACCCACAACCTACATTAATGCGCCGTTGGTGGGCCTGCTGGCATATTTTTCAGCCCACTCTTGATTTCCACAATGTAAAGTAGAATGTACTATGTAGTGGTGCGCAAAATGGTCACCCTGCCAATTATTGTTGTGAAACATTCTTAACTGTTTCCTTTTAATGAAGAAAGCTAAAGTTTCATCCACTTATCCATATGGAATTTCCATGGGAAATAGCGACAAAAAAAAAAACGAGGAAAAAAGAAGGAAAATAGTAGAAAATAGACCAATATAAAAAGTTTAAGAAAGTATATAGGTTAATTTTTAGTTATAGAAATTAATAGATCATAATTTATCAAGTTATAGTTCATAACTAGATAAATTATAAATAAATTTGTCAAGTTATGGTTCATAGTTAGATAAGTTATGGATAAAAACCGTAAATAACTTGTCAAGCTATGGTTCATAACCAGATAAATTATGAATAAAAATAGTAATTTAACCTATTTATTAACTTATATAAACTATTAACTTATTAATTTTAATTCAAAGTCTTGACTTATTTTTCTTTTTCTTTCAAAAAAAAAGAAATGGTTGTATTAGTCTGGTAACATGGCTCGGGCCCAAACCACTTTATTACGTAAAGCTCCAGTAGGTCAGACCACAATGCAAAAACAATTATCTACATTGAATCACTGCCACAAAGCCACTAACCAATACAGTAGACGCTCAGCTACTGCATATTTTTCTTTTTAGTTTTTCCAAGCAACGGGGATAAAAAAAATTTATGTTGCGAAGGACACTGCAAAAACAATTATCTACATTGAATCACTTTGTTACCTGGCTGCTTTTTTTTTTTTTTTTTTTTTTTTCCTTTTTCTCCCTCTCTTTTTATTGACTAACATAACTAGAAAATAACTAAATTTACAAATAACATAATCTCGATAATTAAATTCTACATCCCAAAATACGATCTTAACATTTATGTTGCGAAGGACACTGCCGTGAGAAATTCCTCAATGTTTGGAGACAGTTTTTAATTATGTACAAATCTATTCCTTTAGCCGAAGTAAATTATGCAGCGGAAAAAAAAATTGCTTTTTGGTATCTCCTTAATTGGTGAAGTCACCAGTCCAACTTGATATTTCTAGAAAGGTACAGCTTATCAATGTATTCAATAACCGGAAGCGACGCTCTAATGTATCTTTTCATTTTCTTCTCGGCCGAGTGATCTGCAAAACAACAAGCAAGAAAACAACAAGATTTCAGGTCCGTAATAGCAATGTCTATCAGCAGCTTAGAGCACATCTAATACAATATTATAATTGATAATTGATGTGTCAATTGTAAATATAGCATTTGAGTGCAAAAACACTCTCAAATGTAATGTTATTTGTTGTGTTAAATTTTTCATATATTATATTTTGTGACAAATTTCTCACCCAGTATAGCATATGAGAGATTTGATATTTGATTGCTATTAGTTGAAATAATTACTTTTTTCACGTAATCATTGCAACTTTTATATTTTTTAATTATTTTAAAAATAAAAGTTTACTTTTACAACTTTTAGAGCTTAATAATTATGGGAAAAAATAGATTCAGCATTTCAAATAATATTATGCATTGAAGAAAAATAAAAATAATATACTATATCATACTTTTTAATGCTAAATATATAATTAGTATTAACATTTGTATTAAAGATGGTCTTATGCAGGTCTAGATTTGGCTAAAAATTCCTGAGAATGAAGTTTCCCACATAGAGATTAGCTTAAAAGGCGAATCAGCTAAACTAATTCCGTATAAACAAAGAACAGATAACGCCTTTTGTAAAGAGAGCTTCCCATCTTCCATCCCACAAATATCATTTTGATGTGAAGAATCTCAACTAAATCTAACCACCTTCTACTATTTTCCCAAATGGACAAGATGTAACGAATTTCTTTTTCCTCTCATGACCTTACTAGTTCTAAAGGTTTATATATACTTGCATATACATGTTTTGCTGGCACTGTCAAAGTGATTCAAAAGTTTTCGAAATGTTTTGCTTACTGCATGAAAATGGAAATAAGAATTTTTTGAAAATCGTGTGAGAAAATGCATTTGCCTTTTTTTTTTAGAGTGATTGTTTTGTGTAAAATAAAAAAAAAAAAAAAAAAAAAAAAAAAAAAAAAAAGAGAAACTGTGTTTCGATATGCTTCTCAAAATCTGAGCATAACGTTTTCTTCTTTCTTTACAAAAAAATAAAATCGGTTCCAAACCATTTAAGTTTTTGAAAATACAAATCAACCAAACTGTTATTTAAGAACCGTTTTCTAATCAGTTACCTCATGAAAACGCAAAAAAAAACATTTCTGTAAACGGAACTAAATGTGTTAGTGAACCCTGTTTTTAAAGGCTAGCTTAGAGAGCTCAAGTTAAAATACTGGGACCAAGACTTCAATAAAAGATTAAAATACAATAATTCTTGTTATAGATTGATGGTAAACTCACTGGTCTCGTTAAGCTTAAGCAGAAGTTGTTGTCTTGTAGGGAGAGTATACATTCCAGCAGCAACTGCTGTCCTTACAGTCCATGAGTGGTATGGTGCACAAACCTGAGCATAAGCCGTTGAAGCAGCATCCTTTAAAGAGTAATCACTACATTTGAGAGAAATAATTGCAAAAATTAGATGTCATTATCAAAGAACAAAGAAAAAAAAAGTTCAGAAAACTATATCTTGTTTAATATTTAATCCACTAGAAACTAGCTTGACAGAATCTTTTTGTTCAAACTTGCCACAAAGATGAGTGTGGGTGAATAGTCACTTTAAATAAATTATAACTGATGCATTGATGTTACTTGGTTTACATAATTTTGGTTGTATCTTCTCATGATTGCAAATATTATTTGTTTTTTTTTAAGGGACAAAATGCAATTAGGGAGAGGTAGAACATACTCATTTGATAAGAATTGGTCAAACAAAACTCTGATGAGGTCAAGACCCTGCTTAACACGTCGCAAATTACGCGAATTGCTTCCTTGTATTTTTACTGTCTGGTTTGCTACATCAGAATCCAATATGATTTGTAAAGTACCATATGTCTTGGATGCTTCAACAAGGTTATGTACCTGAATGAATTAGTTGTATTATTAGATGCAAGAAGAGTAATTGCACGTCAAGCAGTTAAGAAAACTTCGTCATTAGAGTTCATTAATACATGCATATATATGTCGGAGAGACGAACAGTTTAGATGTCAAAAAATGGCAAAAATTTCATAGCTGAATCGTTATCCAAAGAGACACAAAAATCCCACATAGGTCACCGAAAAAGAAAATTACGTTTACTACTACAATAAATAGTCTTAATACATTATATTTCGTCAGCATGAAAAGAGAGTGAAAAAAATATATGACTACTTTCCAAAGAAAATGAAAATCTGTCAATGTTACACTAATAAATTTTGCTACAAATTATTTTTTTGATAGTTTGTGTTGTCAGTTAAAGAATAGCTTTTCTTCTTTTTGCAAAATGAACTTTTCTCCGAGGCCCGGCAGGTGTGGCGGCGACTCTGCTACAGAACACTTCGCCAAATCGAGAAGCTGCATCATCCATAACGGGATGCACATTCTCGATGTAACGAGAGATTTCACTGTTTAGCATACTGGGAGATTCTCTGTAAAGAGGAATTTAAAATCTTGGTACTAAAGAAAATAAATTGCATGATTGATCTTTTCATCTTATTTTCAAATCAACATTGTCAAAACTAAAGGCAAATTTCACTAAATTAAATATACTAATCAATATTATACATTGCACTCTATGTTTTTATTTCAATGTTGTATGATATAATATATATTAATCTCACTCTAAATCAGGAGCTAACTTTAGCTCCCCTTCCCACTACTGCTCCTAAATAACATCCTCATACCCTCCATATTACCCGTACATGCAACGTCATCTCTAAATTAGACCTAACAAACTATAAAACTAGCCACTGACGCATTACACACAAAATAAACATAATTATTAGCCTGCAAATGAATATAATAAAAATTAACATAACATTAAAATTCTTAACAACTATATATAAATATAGGTAGTGTCTCCGGTCCGGCAGCCGGACTGAAACGTCACCCTATGTGTAATTGTTTATTCAGCACAAGCATGCCACGTGTTCACACTTGTTAACGGGTCAAGTTACTGTTTTCCATCTAACGACAAGTGGAGATGATTTTCTGATGGTGTCAGATGTCAAGCAAATATTTTAAGTGGATTAAGGGTGAAATGGTAATGTAACAAGTACAAAATAACGCAGAAACCTCCTCGAGGAAAGAAAAAGTTTGCACAAAAACGACAATGTATCCATATGTGATTCACATTGTAGCTTTGTTTTGAAAGAATTGTATAATTGGCTTACTAGTATGTCGACCACCAGAATTGCAATGCCATATGATATGATGTCAGTCATTATAATTGTGTTTATAATTTTTTTTAAAGAGAATTTATCTAATGGTTTCTCTTTTTAAAAATATCAATATTCTTCATTTATCAGTCGTTAAATTTATATTATTTTTTTTAATTTAATTTAATTATTAACTAAATTTAATATAGATCTGATAAGTATTCTCAATAAAAAAAACACCATAAAAAGTCTTATTTTTTCCGATGCATATGATTTATTTAGCAGGAGTGAGTAGTTGTGTTGTAAAAGAACCATGTAATTAACCTGAGCATCATTGTTTGAAGGTAGAGAACTTTTTTTTTTTAAATAGTAACAATCTTCTTAATAATGAAACGTTAACAAATTATCGCTCCGTTAAGAAATCTAATATTTTATACACATATCACTTTAATAATAGCATTTGTTAAACAATCTTAAGCACAATTACTATTTTACCTACACATCCTAATTTTTATATTTTAATTTATATGTAATACAGTAAAATAATAAAAACTGAACAAGATAAATCTTCTCTGCTCCCTAATGACACAGTAAATTCCTCGCCTCACAGTGATAGTTCTTAAAAAAGTTTCTGATTTTTCATTTGCATATTTTTGATGTAAAAAAAAAAAGAAAAAAAACTTCAAAATTTTTTTTATTATGTGAAAATAGATTCATAAAATTTTAACTTACATTTAATTAATAATGGATGCTTCATAATGCAACCTCGCTTCCCCATGGCAGCGCAAGCTACTCCAGCCTCATTGACAAATCTCACAGGCGACTAGCAATGGAGAACTGACGGGAAAAGGGATTGATGTCGGAGGAGAGAGAAGACTTCATCTGATTTGGTCGGTGCCCCTTCGAGGGAGGACTTTCGCGGGGGGAGGGGCGAGATGCACCGTCTTCGTGCCGGCATTGTGGGAGGAGAGGGAACGATGTCTGAGTTGAAGGTTTTTTTTTTTTTCTTTTCTGAAAATGTCGGACGAGCTGTCGTTCATTTGTTATTTTGTTTTTTATTTACTACTCCACATTATTTTAGTCTTTTCTCATAATTTTTTAATATTACTTTCATCGTACCTACTGAGTTGGCTTACCCCTGTCCTTCTCCTATAACAATTGAGTACATTGACTTTAAATGAGAGCCGTCAATATCAAATCTAGTGGTAACATTTAACGAGATTTACCCGTCACGCATAGTTCTAATTGGAGACTTTCTTATATATATTATATATAAAAATTAAAAGGTTTTAAGTCCTATGAGTGTACGGTAAGGTAAGTAAAACATTTTTCGCATTGATAAGTTGCATTGTACTTTTTTTTTAGAATTTCACTTTAGTAAAATGAATGAATTACACGAATGTATAAAGGATGCTATGATGATAAATAAAAAATATTGAGGCTACCAGACCGAAGACATTTTATATGTATCATATTCTTCATCATGTGCGTCAATCTCCTTACCACCATTAACAGATTCTTTAATCTCAAACAATTGAAAGCATATTAACAAACACAAAGTATCCGTAGAAAAGACTCGAATGAAATGCTTTAAACCATCATATATGTTAAAGATTGAGTAAAGCGAAAAGGACCTTGGAGACGTACTCCAACTCGGCGAACTTGAAAGCGAGGCCGAGGCAACGAAAGAGAATGGAAATCGGAGAGCAAGCCTCGCAGAGCGTGTCCAATCGGAGCTGAAACTGTTGTGCTCCGTTAATTTTCTGCAAGTTTATTAGCTTTTCCACTTCCTCAAAGGCCTCGGCTATGGCGGACAAAGGAGTGGAGGCTGTGGCGTCATTGAAATTGAACCTCTTCTCGGCCACACAACCTTCCATGGCTGATTTGCTGTTTCTGCCGCTTAGAATCATTGAATGAATGAAATTTTGTTGACGAATATCAAATAAACTCTCTGCAAACTTCTTATAGACAATGATCGGTTGAAAATATTCGGTTTTGAGAGGAAGAGAATGTATTCCGAATTGAAAAAAGATGAAGAAAAGGAGGTGAAAGGATTTGAAATAATGGAATCAGATGCAGAGGAAAGTTCTTGGTGGGTTCTTTTGGTAGGAAAAAGAAAGAGGAGAATCGTAAGGTAATGTAAAGAGAAGTTTGAAGGGTTCAAGTCCTAAGGACGCGGTGCGCCTGAGAGAGTTGAATTTTCTTGTTTATATTACACCATGACTTTAATTAAAGCCACAGAGAGATGGGAAAAGTCTATGTCTTGTAAAGTTCTTCGCCAGCCACCCGATGATTCGTTGGGCTGTTTCTCCAGGGCCTTCTCGAATAAGGCCCATGACTCTTGTATTGGGAATGCCATCTGGAATTGGGGGATGAAAATGGCGAATTTGAAAGGAAATCTATGTAGAATATTGACCCTTAAAAAATAATGGCAGGGAATAAGGGAGACGGGATATAATAGCACACTCTACCCCAAAAAAAAAAAAAAAAAAAAAAAAAAAAAAAAAAAAAAAAAAATTCTTGAAATAGCCTTACTCCTACCCTCCCCAAACTTGCCTGTTGTCGCGTTCCATTGAGGTCGTCATCATCGCCGTTGTTGAAGATCAAAGACTACCCTCTTGTCGCTGTCGAAGACCATCATTTCTAGCGAAACTCCGCCATCTGTCCGAGCTCCCTCATAAAACAAGAACTCCGTCACGAGTTCGTAGTCTATGGTCACGAACTCGGTTGATGTTCAAGATAAACTATTTTTCCCAATACATTACAAGAATAATCACTTTAAAAAATCAAAATTTTAGTAGCAAAAAATACACTTTTTACTATCAAACTTTAGTAGCTAAAATTAACAAAGTTTTAAATTTAGGCCCTATTTATTTTTTCAATTTGCGTTTAGAATTCGAGTTTTACTATAGTAAAAAGCTCTAAGAAATAATCACATTTAACTTTTTTACTACAGTAAAAAGCTCTCACATAAAGTCACATCTCAACTCGAATTAAAAACTTAAATCAGTGAACTAAACGGGCCCTTAATAGCAAAAACAACACAATCCGCTACCAAATATAATTTCATAACAAATAACATAGCGAAAAATAAAATTTGATTCCCGCCAATAATTTTTTACTATCAAAATAATATTTGGAAACAAAAACATAAGATTCTGCCACCCAAATTTGGTAGCAAAATATTACTTTTTTGCTACCAAACATATTTTGATAACAAAATGTTGGCGGGAAGCAAAATTTTTTCCCGCCCAAGGTATTTGCTACCGAATTATTTTTGATAGCAAAACATATAAAATTTGCTACCAAGTATTGGAAGCAAAATATAACTATTTGCTACCAAAATTTGGTAACGAAAAATTAAGTTTTTGCTACTAAAAAACATAATTTTTTGCTACCAAATTTTGGTAGCAGAAAACAAGATTTTGCTATCAAATTCATCTTTTGGTTGCAAAAAGATGTTTTTTGCTACCAAAAGTTGTGTTTGGTAGCAAATCATATAAAAACTTTAAAATTTATATTTTTTGTGCTTGTATTGTTTTTTTTTTTAGTTTTCCATTAATATGTCATCTATTAAGTTTCAACAATGATCCTAGTATATTTAGTATAATAATAATTTGATAATTTAGTTATTTTGTGTAGGTATAACAAGAGACATATTCATGTGTATACATATGTGATCTTGTTAATTAAGTATATGTTTCACATAGAGTAGTATATAATCTTGCTATTTGATTACTTTTTAACATAGAATAATCTATTTCAACTTCAAAACTATATTTTTTTGTTATAATAATTTGTCATCAAAATGTTTTTTTTTATTTTTAATATGTGTCTTTCTGGTACCAAATTAAAATTTGGTAGCAAAAAATATACTTCAGTTACCAAAATAATGTTTGGTAATGAAAAACATAATTTTCTACTACTAAATTTTGGTAGCAGAAAACATGATTATACTACCAAATTCATATTGTGGTGTCAAAAAGGCGTTTTTTACTACCAAAAGTTTAGTTTGGTAGAAAATCATATAAAAACTTTAAAACTTATATTTAGTGCTTGTATTTTTTTTTAGTTTTCCATGAATATGTCCTATATTAACTTTTAACAATCATCCTAGTATATTTTGTATAAAAACTATTTGATAATTTAGTTCTTTTGTGTAGGTGTAACAAGAGACATGTTCATGTCTATATATATGTGATCTTGTTAATTAAGTATATGTTCCACATAAAGTAGTATATAATCTAGCTATTTGATTACTTTTTAACATAGAATAATCTATTTCAACTTCAAAACTATATTCTTTTTTTGTTATAATGTTACTAGAACAATGAAGCTAAAATAATTTTTCGTCAAAATGTTTTTTTTTTAATTTTTAATATGTGTCTTTCTGGTACCAAATTAAAATTTGTTAGCAAAAAATATACTTTCAGTTACCAAAATAATGTTTGATAATAAAAAACATAATTTTCTGCTACTAAATTTTGATAGCAGAAAACATGATTCTGCTGCTACATTCATATTTTGATGGCGAAAATGCGTTTATTGCTACCAAAAGATATGTTTAGTAACAAATCTTATATTTTGTACTTTTATTTTTGTTATTTTAATTTTCTATATATATATCTTAAATTAAATTTAATAATCATTCGAGTATATTTTGTATACAAGTATTTGATAATTTAATTACCAAAAAAACTCAAAAAAATTTTGATAAACTTTTCAATATGTAATGTTTTATATAATTATTGATATATATATATATTAGAATTTCATGAAATCTTTTGAAAATGGTTTCCACCCAAATTCCTAAAATCATCCGAGTATATAGGTCCGTTTACTTTGTTGATTTGAGTTTGTAATTTGAGTTGAGATGTGATTTTATATGAGAACTTTTTACTGTAGCAAAACTCGAATTCTAAACTCGAATTGATGAAGTGAATGGCCTCAGATTCTCTCATTTTTTTCACTCCTCCGCCCAGACTCTCTCACTCTCCTTTCTCCACTGCGCCGCTTCTCTCAGACTCTCAGTCCAGACCCAGCCCACTTATCCTCACCCTCACCTACAGGCACCGTAGGCACCACCGCTTCTTCTTCTTCTTCTTCTATTCTCTCTGGAGTCTGGATTCTCCACTCTCTCCGTCAGATTCGACCGTGGGGAGGCAGGGGAACAGATCAACAGATTCGGTTCCTATTCTTCTCATTCTTCGTCAAATCCGGCCTTGTGGAACAGCTTCTTTGCTTGGGGAACAGATTCGGTCCCTATTCTTCTCATTCTTCGTATCCGGCCTACTTTGTTGCCGTCATTTCCGCCGTCGATGAGGCCGCGTCCTCTCCACAACCCCTGGACCTCTCCGCCGTCGCCGTACTCCTCTCCTTCTTCGCGATCGTCCTCCCTCTGGCGCCGCCCTGGGGGATCAACGCCGCGAAGGCGAGTGAGGCCGTGAAGGTCCTGGTGGGAGAGGAAGAAGGAAGGGCTCGCCGTGACGACCGTCAGGGCCGGGGTCAAGTGCTTGGGGGTTTTGGTTGGGTTCTGCGATTTGGAGGATTGGAATTCGGTGAAATTAGGGATCGAGACGCTCATAAAGTTTTCCGTCGATAATCGTCCCAAGGTAAATTTGAGTTTTCTGAGCTGTTGTATTGCTATATTGCCGGAATAAAGGCTTTTCATTGCTTATTGTTGCTGCTGCTGTTGTTGTTGTTGTTGTTTTTTCCCCTATGTTTCCTCCAAGCTAATCTTCTAGGACCTTGTTTGTGATGCACATTGTGAACAAGTAAACATGAAACTGAAATATCAATTGTTAAGAGTGAAAAAGCTGGACAAAGCAATTATTTCAGTTTTACAGAACCTACAGAATAGTGCATTCTTGATGTTGTTGGTTAATCATGAATCATGATGTGTATCATTGCTTGTGGTGTTAATATGCTCGCATGAAACTCATTCATTGTATGTGGACTTGGGACATAGGCCAATTGCTGAAAATGCTTAGTATACATTGCAATATTTATGGTAGCGTTTCTTTGTTTCGTGAAAAAAGCTAAATGGCAACACTGGTAATCGTCCTTATTAGTTTTTCAACTACCACGAAATTGAAAATGTATGGGACTTGTGTCATAATTAGTAGGTCGGTCTCAAAGTTGACATTTCAATATGTGTAAGTATGGTCTCTGGCGATATATGCATTCCTCTATTATGTTCGAAGTGGGAATAAAGTCTTTCATATGGTGACAATTGGTCGATGTTCAAACTGAGTCGTTGATTGTCTTACGGTAGTTTAAATTTGTTGTAGAAATGGCGTGAACATAATATAGTAGAATTGATGATATAAAGCTTGAGGGCTCATCGATAGACTCACTATCGAATCATGTTTAGGACTCCCTTTTCCATGCATCAGCCATTTAGGTGGCCATGCGCTTTCTTGATATTGGGCTATTGCAGTTTGAGGTGCTTTTACTTATAGAATTCAGGTTCTTGTCAACTTGCATTACTTTTTCACGTCTTATAAGGCTGGTACAAGTAACTTAAGAATCATGACTTATGATATTTTGTTTGTATTCAATAACTAATGTGTAATATTAACTTCTTTGTAGAACACACATTCTTCTGCCACAAATACTTCGGGAGGGTACTTTAAGGTCTTCAAGAATACTCATTAGAGTGAATCATATAGATGGACAACTGAGAGAGCAAAGGAAGATTATGTAAGAATTACTAATACTTTATCATTTCGTTAGATTTTGTATTTTTTTTATTCTAACTTAAAAGTTTATTAACACTTCACCTAATGTAGGAACAAATGATCAAGACTCGCGATGTTCGTTTACGTGAACTACCAGAGGGGGGTTTAGAACTTGACTACGGCGTGGAGGAAGAAATTTACTCAAGTTTTGTCAAGTGAGAGGTATGAAAAATATGGTTTCTAGCGTGGCATAGGTCTTGTATCAAGACAACCATCACAAGTTCGCAAATCTAGAGTGTCAGGATATGAAAGCCTTCAAAATGAAGTTCAGGATCACAAACGTCGTATGTCAGACATAGAAATTCTAATGGAGCAATAACAGGAGTTTATTCAAAAACTACTTCAGCAAATCATCTTGGACCTTCCGTCCTAAGAAGAGAAGATCCTCCGCGACCACCACTGCCACCACCGGCCTCAGTTTGTTAGAGTGTTTAATTCTTGTAATATTAAGATTTTACTAGTACAATATTTGCATAAGTGTTTGGATTTGCTTAAGTATGACTATTTGAGTATTTTGTTTGGATTCTAATATGTATTGAAATATTTAGAGATTTTTAAATTTATATTTGGTATTTTATTTATATATTTTTTTTTTCAAAAAATACAGGTATATAAATCTGTCTCAGTTTTTGTGACTAAAAAAATTTAGTATCAACAAATTAGTTATTTGCTACTAAATCTATGGTACCTGAATCTTGTACTTTTCATTACCAAATACATTTTGCTACCAAAAATTTGGTCTTTAAATCTCATATTTTTTGTTACTAAATACCTTTTGCTACCAAATATTTGGTCACCAAATTTCATACGTTTTGTTACCAAATATAATTTAATACCAAATATTTCATCTTTAAATCTCATGGTTTTTGCTACTAAATATCTTTTGTTACCAAATATTTGACGACTGAATCGCGTACTTTTTGCTACCAAAATTTCAGGGTCCTTAAAGCTCATACTATTTGCTACCAATAACATTTTGCTACTGAAATTTTTGGTCCGCGAATATCATATATTTTGCTACCAAATACATTTTATTACTAAAAAAATTATTTGCTACCAAAATTTTGATAACTGCTAGCACTTTTTGCTACTAAAATTTTTTGGTAACAAAACCATTTTGCTACAAAAAACAGGCTTTTGGTTACCAAATTTTTGGTAACAAAAAATTCAAATTCTTGTAGTGATATGAAGTATATACTCATTATAATCTTATTAAAAAAAAGCGTCAAACTTTTTGTTACATTACTTAAGGACTAATATAGTTAGATTATTATCTTAAAATCATATTTCTTTGTTAATTTATACGACCCTGTATGCATCAGATAATAACAGTCTTAGAATTTGTTTGTATGTAAACTTTTACAACCAAACCTACAATAGTAAATTGAACAAATAATGTAAGAAATAAATGAAATAAAATTTTATTAAGCAGAAATGAATATTGAGGATTACACAAATGCATTTGCTCTGCAATCTATTTCTAACACTAGATGCTCTACTAAGGCCGAATATCGGGCTATATATTGCTTCTGTTACTGCTATAATCGTATGGATCCAGTCTCTGTCACAAGAATTTGGAATCTCTTTACTACTCCTCCTAGTTTACTATGACAATATCGATCGGTACCACATATATCTATGTGCAAATCCAGTTTTTCAATGTCCCATGAAACAAATTAGCACATATTTTCACTTTTGGCATAAGCAACGATATTATCTCATGGTCTGAAAAGCTCCCAGTAATTAAATTATTACGATTGATAAATAGAACTGATCTAGGAGGAATCCAATTATAATTATATAATTAGTTGTTTGAATGAGTAATATAACTTGACTTTTGTAGTATTGTCAAGATATATGTCGTTTGTGTCTCGCAAATTATGTACATGTGAGCAATGTGCGTATTATTTTCCCGGGTCAAAAATAGTGTGCAAAATAAATAATGTTTTGCATCATTTGGAGGTTCAGCAACGATTAACCAAGATTTTTCATAGGAATAGAAGAAATACTGTACTATCACCAATTTACATCTTTAATTATTTATTCTGCCATTACAATAACTACATATATATTCTGTCCACATTATGACCTCTACGATCACTGACTTACTATTCAGACGCAAGGCACAATGTCAGTACATAACATAGCCACTTAAACTCTATTACCAAGCTCTACTCCACTTTGTCCAGACTCATGAGCACTTTCCTTCTTAGCGACCTCAATGGGCTTCAAAGTGTACATCTTTGCACAACACACATAATAAATAAAGTTCAAAACTTGCAACAAAGTGAGCAGCCAATAAAAGTACTCCAACTTCCCCTTGTTCAAATTGCTATTCGGAAGCCAATTCGTCCCATCAGCCCTAGCACTATACTTGTGCACAAGTGAAACCAGAAGGGTGCTCATATAATTCCCCGCCGAGATCGCCGTCCAAAACAGTGCGGTGGCGGTGCTCCTCATGCTCTCCGGCGCTTGGTCGTAGAAAAACTCTAGATGCCCTATTGACATGAATGCCTCAGCCATGCCATGAAGGCTGTACTGAGGCACTAGCCAAAAAACCGAGATAGGTATCATGTCATGCGGGTGATCGACGAGACCGTGCGCGGAAGCGGCGGCTTTGCGCTTGATCTCGACGAAGCCCGCGACGAAAGTGGCAATTATGGAAATGACAAAGCCGATCCCCATTCTCTGGAGGAAGGTGATGCCGCGGTCTAGGCCGGTGAACTTCCGAGCGACGCGGATCAAAACGCGGTCGTATAGGGCGATGGTGGAGAGCATGGTGACAATGGTGAAGACGCTCATTGAGCCTGCGGGGATTTGGAAGGAGTTTGTGAGGTGTCTGTTCATGGTTTTGGCTTGCTGGAGGGAGAAAGTGCCTTGTTGGGCGTAGGCTGTGATGAGGAGGATTCCTGATGCCCAGATCGGTCCCATTCTGATCACTGATTTCAGCTCTTCTACACGATGGACGGTGTTGAGCCTCCATAGATTTGGCGATTTCACGCTGTCTTCTTCGGTCACAATGGCTGCCTTGTCGAGAAATCTGCATGGTTTTTACCCTCCACAGTTAGCATTAGAAAATATATGTAAAAAGATATAGTTTTATAGACTGTACACTACGTACAATGTGTGGGTTCTTTTCGTGAGAAAATTCAGAACTAATTAATCAACTTATATTAGATTTGAATTGGATGTCAAAAACTTTAATATAATTCAAACTATTGTTGGCTAACCTCCTAATAGCTTAAGTTTTTATGATGAATTGGTAAACTAACATAATATCAGAGCGGGAGGTCCTGAGTTCAAACCCTCGTAATTGTACTTTTTATTCCCATTTAAATTGTCATTATGTGTTGGGTCTTTAATTTATCTCGGGCTTAAATATTCACGTGTTAGACTTTTTAATTAATTTACCCATACGATTACCCATTGTCCAGCCCACACGTGAGGGGGAGTGTTAAAGTATACTGAAATAGTAGAAAATAAGCCAATATGAAAAGCTTAAGAAAGTATATAGGCCAATTTTTAGTTATAGAAATTAATAGATCATAACTTGTCAAGTTATGGTTCATAACCAGATAAGTTATGAATAAACTTATCAAGTTATGGTTCATAGCCATACAAGTTATGGACAAAAACCGTAAATTATGGACAATAACTTGTCAAGTTATGGTTCATAACTAAACAAATTATGAACAGAAACAGTAATTTGACCTATTTATTAACTTATGTAAACTATTGGCCTATTCATTTTAATTCATCTCAAGTCTTGGCATATTTCCCTCTTTCTCCCTAAAGTATAAAACTATTGTTGGCCCACCTCCTAATAACTTAAGCTTTTATGATGGATTAGTAAACTAACATAGTTTATTTGTAAATTGATTAAAAAAAAACAACGCAGACTAAAAAACTAAAATTACAATGGAAATAAAACATTATACAACTCAAGTAATACATGATTCGGTGAATGGTTGTTAAAATTTACGTACGTTCTTCAAATTGGTATTTAATTATACACTGCGATGTGTATACTAACTCCTTTATACACTAACAAAAAGTTAACGAAATATATAAATAAAAATATATTATTTTTAAATTTTTATATAAGTGAAATAACAAAAAGATAAGAACTTTTACGGTGCTAAGAGAAAAATTCAAAAGACAAACTTATAAAAGTTACGATAAATTAGTTAATCGAAATAGTGTCATGTGAAGGCACCATAGAAGGACCCTAAAAATATATTTAAAAATGATATATTTATATACTGAATGGAATTGTTTTGATTGTTTGAATTTCGCCAATCAATAATCATAACCAATCCATGGCGAATACAATTGGATTTTAAATCTTTATCTAAATCAATTCAATAAGAATTGAATATCCGTTCACATTTGATTAATGAATAAGATTGCATTAATCGGCTATCTAATATAATTATATAATTGGATAATGACCAGCTCCAGTTCAGATCATGCAGAGATCAGATGAGGGGACCGGTGTAAATAATATATATGGACAAGATTATCAAAAGAAAAGAAATGAAGAAAAGAGACGCAAGATCATTTGTTGCCTTCCTAACGGGGAACTATTATTAGAAAACGAGTGTTTTTTGTGCCGATTGGAACGATTCTAGGACTGTGGTCCCAATTCCTAATTATAAGTGTTCATATAAGACAAACAAATGACCAGATCATCACAACTAATGATCATACAAAAAAAAAAAAAACAAATAGTGGTCTCCATCTGTTTTCCTTTTCTTTCCCCTACTATGGTATAAGATTAGAACCAATTCCTTCCAAGTACATGAAGATGGACATCATTGCAACTAGAAGTCTCCCTAACATTCCAGAGATTAAAAAAAAAAAAAAAAAAAAATCTCCCTAATAAGATGTCTTTATTCTATTTCTTCAGTGTGATTTTTTTTTTTTTTAATTTCAACCACACAACAGTATTGTTTTAATATTGGTTTCCAGTGAATGTGATAATTTGATACTAATTTATTTTGTGCTTTTATGTGGAAAAGAAAACAATCACATCACAAAGCCAATTATTTATTCTCATGGATACAAGTATCTATGCAAAGTATTCTTTAGAGGATATAATGGCGATTTAACGTCAAAATTATAAACCTACAACCGACAACAAATTTATGACTTGAATGTTAACTAAAAAAGACAGCGTGAACAATTAACTATGTAAATATCAATCGACTAGGGAAGATTCCTGCATTTAAACAAATCACATGGTATGATTAGTCATCTCAATTACTTTGAATGACAATGCTTTTTCAGTACCCTTAACTGACCCGCCCAACATTTTCTTCTTTTTAACAATGGGGTCATATGCCTCTGTGCCTAACAAGACCCATTTCTGATTTCAAGCTATAGTATTATTCACCATAGTTTTCAGTGCAAAAAATATATATTAATTAGGATAAAAAGTGAATGTATTGAATCGTCACGTTTTGCACATGATTTTATATGTTTTGATATGTAATATAATTTACGGTTGAGAGAAATGCACGTTATTAATGAATATATATATTTGTCATCATGAAAAACTAATGACCCAATATTTTCTAGTATATATGTCTAAATTAAAATGTGAAAATAGAGAAATAGATATAGAGATTAGAGGGTTCTTACTTCATTTGCTTTGTATGAAGAAGCCTCCCACCGAGCGAAATAGCGGTATCAAGTTCTTCATTGTCATAAAGCAGATTGGAATCAGAAACCATTTTTAGCTTCCTTTTCTTGTAAGCAGCCACGGACACTTGTAACAACCGGGTAAATGGACTCCCGGCCGGATCCAAGTTCCGGTAAAGCGGGTACCCGACTACAAAGGCAATAATTGAGAGAAACATTGCTATGGTTGGAATACCTAGTCCCCAACCCCATCCAATATTATCCTGTATGTACACAAGCACAGTGACAGCCACAAGTATAGAAGCTCCCATGGTAAAATAGTACCAATTGAAGTATTTCCATGTCTTGGTGTTTTGCTTCGGATCTTGTTCGTCGAACTGGTCCGCCCCGAAAGCCACCACGCAGGGTCGGATCCCGCCCGACCCAAGTGCCGTTAATAAGAGGGATACGTATAGTATCGCCACCTGTCTTGAATCGGCTTCTTCACACACTTGATCTCCTAGTTTGCACGGTGGTGGTCTTAGGTGTGGAAGCACTGCTGACAGTGTTAAGCTAATCATTCCCTGATGATTAGACAAACGTATATTAGAACAAATTAGAAAATTATGATATTCACATACTCATAACAAAAAAATTTCATTTCAATAATAAAAGTTTTTAGATGTTAAATTTTCATACTAAAAAAATGATATAATACTGTAACATTAAAAAAAAAAATACATGTGCAGTACTCTGTCGTTAAAAAAAATTAGCATTTACTCCAACTTTTAGTGTGGAGTTCAAATCCACCACTCTCTGATTAGGAAAAATAAAAACAAAACAAAACAAAACAAAAGAGGCATGGACTTAAGGACGCCTCTTAATAGTATTATGTATGCTTGTTTTCTTTTATATGATTCTTGAAAGCGACTTCTTAACATATAGATATATGAACTCAATATTGTTATGGCACCTCTAAATGTGTTTTCTCCGTATACTTTTTTCATTTGTATATGAACATGATATTGCAAATCATGTCGGCACGAGAGAGAGAGAGAGAGAGAGAGAGAGAGAGAGAGAGAGAGAGAGAGAGAGAGAGAGAGAGAGAGAAGAGTACTATTTGGTAGATGATAGAGGCAACGCTAATAGTCCAGAATCGGCCGGCGAACGAATCGGCGACGAAGGCTCCAATCAAGGGCGTCAAGCTTGCCGTGCCACCAAAGTTGGTGAGAGTGTTTGCTGCTTTAGTGAGCGGCATGTGAAGCTGTGTTGTCAAGTAGCTTATCATATTAGCATTGAATCCCACCACAGCCAACTTCTCGCATATCTCATTTGCTACACACCAAAACCACGAATAATAGTTATTAATTATAATCATGCAACATATACAAAGATCAAAATATTAACTTGGCACATGTTTTTCTCTTATTTTTCAACATTATTACTATAAGCTTACCGAAGATGAAGGGCATTGTGACCAATCCACCCTTCTTCCTTGCAACATGGTTTGGATATCCTTTCTCCATTTTTTTTTTCAATCTTTCTGGCCAGGTTTGTTTGGTTAATGGAACAAGACCCACTTATATATTTATAGGCTGTACTACTGGCTGTTCAGTGCTGGTTTTGACTGTTAGTAACAAGTGGATCCAATTAAATTTTGATATTTCCAGCAAAAATAAATAGGGATTTTTTTTTATACGTCAATATACCGGTAGGTTAAGTTTTGTGTTCGTTAAATCTACATAAAATCACGTAAAAATTAAAAAATACGTAAATTTAATGATTAAAGTGTACCAAAGAATCTCTTAAGTAGATAAATAAAAAATAAAAAATTTTATACGCATTATCAGCTTGCTGTTTACGTCGATACAAACAAGAAATGGAAAATTTTATAATGCGTCTCTTTTTTTTTTTTTTTTTTCCTTTCAAAAGGGGTACCCGGACGTGGATTATCATAAATATTGATAGTACATGTGATAAGATATAATGTGAGCGCAGATGGATGACCACAGTTATATATGGACATAGAAGTTTTGTTATTTTCACATTTGTATTATTGGTGTCCTATAATTATTGCAATCTGGCTAGCTTAATGCCTTAATATAAGGAAAATTTTCATAAATGCCATAAAAAAAATAATATTATTTTATTCTGCCATCAATTTAAAATTTATCATTTAGATCTGTATTCCGATACAATATCTTTTATATTCTATAATAATATTTTTTGACAAGATATTTCTTTGTATTCTATCAGAACATTTTTTAATAACCTAAATAATAAGATAGTGAAAAATAAATTTTTTTCTTAATATAATGTCGCATATAAAATGCATTGTGGGCTCAATTTTTGGAATGGACATTTTCGTCACAAGATATATACTGAAACAAAAACACTGTATGTTACCCTTTTGATAGTTAATGCGTCATGTTTTTACCAAAAAAGCAAAACACGCGCGCCTACTGTGTTGCAAAAAGACCTCTGAGCACCAAATATCACCTTCACTACTAGAAACCGAAATTGAAAAAAATAAAAAAAATAATAATAATAACAGTAACACATAACAAGAAGTAGGTTTTTGAAAGGTGAACTGCGATCTAATATTTAGGTTTTATTCGGCGCATGAGTTTATAACCTATTAAATGATGGGGAACGAATTTAATTGTTTGTGGGGTGTACTCAATATTTTAAATAAAGAATTACATATTTTTGGTTAACTGCATCCCGACTATTGAAATAAATTATGGAAGATGTATATAAGTTCAAAACCATCGACTTATTATTAGGTGCATGGTGGAAAAGGAGGCTGAGTCTACTAGTCTCAATCCCAATTAGTTTAATGAGTTAATTAAGGAATTATGACTAGGCATGATAGTTTTATTTAGTACTACTTTAGGAATCTCCTCTTTCCTAATTAACAAAGATAAACAAAATCCTCATCCTTAATTAGAGAGAGAGAGTAATATCTGTGTTTTGATGAGTCTGCGTGTGTTTTTATGCCAATAAGGAAGAAGTATTTTTTTTAAGGAAAAAAAAGGAAAAAGTATAATAGTTCTTTCCTTTTTTCTTTTTATAGTTACGAATAATTTAAGCCTTGTTTTTTTTCACAATTCAAGTCACAACTTAACTTTTATTGTTATAGTATTTTCTCTTAAAAAAATTCAAATGCAACTTTTTTATTGCAGTATTTTTCTCTCACATACAATTCAAGTTGTTCTTAATTCACTACAAGAAAAAGGTGTTTTTGCGACGACTTTTTGTCGTCGCAAAAACCCCAGTGTCGTCGCAAATAATAGTTTTAGCGACGACATGTCGTCGCAGATATGTCGTCGCAAAAAATTAGTCGTAAAAACTTTTTTTACGACGACACAGGGTCGTCGCAAATATATTTGCGACGACATATTTTTTTTTGCGACGACAAGCGTCGCTAATACGCCGTTCTGAAATTGTCGTGATATAATATTTTTTGCGACGAAAAATTTCAAAATGTCATCGCAAATAATCTTCCTTTTTTGCGACGACACGTATAAAAAAGTCGTCGCAAAAAACTGGAATAAATTTTTTTTTTAAATTTTTTAAAAAATGGCAATTAATTAATTTTTAATAATTTTAATTAAACATTATTATGTTACATACTAAATATAATTTATTAAGATACATTAAAAGTGAAATATAAATTAATATTAAAAACAGTAAATCTAAATAAATTTAGAAAATATAATCCAAATACTACATGAAGTGCATATATAATGTTCAAAAAAATATAAAAGTCTAAATAAAGTGAAAAATAAAATAGAACATATAACGGAACTATTCGTCTAAGTTTGCAGCATCGCCAACAGCTGAATCGTCATCAGGACTGTCATCATCTGAAGGAGGCAGAGGAGTGTCTAGGTTAACTGGTTCTAGACGAACAATCGTAGGTAATTGGATGTTGGGCTGCAATTTAGACACTAACTCTAACATCTTCACTTGATTGTCATAAATCTTCATTTGTTCCCGGTATGATTTGTTTAAATAACGATCCATACGTGAGTTAGGTTGAGTCGATGAGGTTGCGTCCGAGAATGAACCAGCAGATGAAGGAGAAGCCCCGGAGTAATGCTTTTGGGAGAGCGTCAGACCCACTCCTATCTTATGTCCTCTACGCATGCCAAGAACTTGCTCCAAAACCCCATGCTCGTCAAGGGGGGGTCTAGTCGAGCTTGCAGTAATCTGTGTTCTCTGCATTTGTCTCTCCTCCTCCAGGGTGTTCTACATAATAAGACATTATAATTATTTTTACGTGTTATAAAACCACTATTTCAGTATAAAAAAATTTAATATGAAAAGTAGAAATACTTACGAAAGTCTGTTCCGCATGGGTATTAACCCAAGAGTCCCCGTGATGATGCATGTCCGCCCAATTGTCTATAGCAGACATCGGCTCTTGGGTTTCCGTACTGGCCTGTCAAATAAATTAGATTTATTAAAATTCTTAAATTCTAACTAAATTTCGGCAGCATAACGACTTATTTTTCATATGATCCAAACCTGTAGAAAAACAACTTTAAAAGATTTCGGCACACCATAACTGCAAGATGTGCCACCCAGAACAGGAATCACAAACATATAAATACGATAATGAAGTCAAAAAATAAGTACTAACCTTCTTATTGCGATGTTGAGAGTATGATAACTGACCATGTAAGCTTGGATACTTTTGATTGCTGTGATTACTTTTAGTTGTCTCTGATATTTTCTGTTTATGATTAACTATAATAAGTAATAGTTACTTGTAATTATGTATAAAAAATCATCAAGTTCTAACAAATCTATAATTACTTGAAATTTGTCGCCGGAGAACCTATCGCAACAATGATCCCAATGAACTTGATTTCTCATGTTACTCGGGAGACTTTCTCTACCATAGCGTTTGTAGTGGTGGTGCAAGGAACATTTCCAGTCCTTGTAGCACTTTGCTGCCTCTTTATCAACAACGGACCTCAGAATGCCGTTCTTGTAGTTATAGTCCACGTTAAACCAGTCCTTGCAAAACAATTTCACATCGTTAAAATGCATTGTTAACTATAGTATAAACTATACAAATTATTGCATAAAATAAATACCAGCATCCGGTCCTGAATTGTCCTCTTGTCCATGTCGCTAATGTCCTTCCAAGCATTGTGGAAGGGCTCGTATATATCCCTGGTATGAATACCAACCGCACTATCAAACTAGGCACTATATTTACCAAGCGCCTTCCAAGTACCTCCCGCCTCATCAAATTCTACTGTGATTTTTTCGTCTTGAAGGACCTTTTGGGCGATTTCATAACCTTTTGCCCCACCTCGCCCTCTACGTTGTCGAGGTTCAGGTGCTGTAAGCATATGAAAGCATTTCAAATTAACTTGTACTACTACATTTATTTACCATATGATAGAACGAGAAAAAAAGTTAGAATAACATACCAGACTCACAGTATGCGGGGAGTCTGTGAGGACCGGGAGGAGGTTGCGCTCCCCCTGAAGAGCCAGCGCAAGTCGCTACCCTACCAGCCATCAATGTCTGTGAACAAATTCATATTAATAACAATATTTATAAATTCAAATAAGATCATAATATTAAAACAAAATCTGAGAAAAATGACAAAGATTACTAGTCTGTAGTTCTATTCATTGTTGCTGCTACATTGTTGATTGTCTCCATCATAATTTATGTCATCATCGTCTTCAGATTCGATGACTTCCTCTTCAACGTACTCCTCTAAAGTTTCATCGTCTTCGTCATTAATAAAATCATCAACTACGGGAGACTTATCTTTCATAATTGCATCAACATCGGAAGTGACAACATTAGACGATCCATCATCTCGATTCAATACAAATGAGTCAATCTCTAGTAGTTCCACTACTAACTCAATATTTGTAGACTCTGTATCCTGGACTATCATCACGTCATCAATGTCAATTTCTGGAATGTCCCAAATATGTCGATGTCTAAAGTGTTCTACAACCTTCCAGTTTGGACTGTTAAATAAATCGTCTACGTAAAAAACTTGCTCTGCTTGAGATGCAAGTATGAAAGGTTCGTTTTCGTACCACGTGTCTTTAACAAAAACACTTGTTCTATTTTTGTAGTGTTGAATTCTTTTCCTCCCCGGACGAGTGTCAAACCACAGACATTTAAAAAGCATAACAGAATTGTCATTCAAGTAGGACAGTTCATAAATATCCTCTAAAACTCCATAAAACATTTGGTTATCAAGTCCGCGAACACAAACACCACTATTTTGAGTACTTCGATTCATATCCCGATTGCGTGTTAGAAACTTGACACAGTTCACCACATAACCAGGATAACTTCGACATGAGAAGCTTGAACCACTTGAAAGCAAAAGTATTTGATCATTCGCTTTGGGCCATTCTGATTTTGAATATTGAAAATCTGTAACGAGAAATGAATTTTCTATAAAACGAAATTTTTAATGACTTAACAATGTTAATGCAAATTAATTATAAATGTACCTTATTCTTAAACCATTTTGGAAACTCTTTCGATTGAATTTCATCCAATGGTATGATTCAACCGTCGGC